AGTCTGGCACAAAAAGCAATTTAGCATCACTTCCTGTGAGCACCTGCAGCGTGGTCCCTGCCACAGGAGCTTACAACCCACAGCGCTGCTCTCACAGCTACCTCCACCCATGCCCAGAATCGGCCGCAATATTTGGCTTCAAAAGACGAAGCAGAACATCTCCAACACTCTTCCCTCACCTCCCCTAGTTATTCCTTGCTGTAAGTGGGAGAGGACCTCCAGAACTGGTGGTCTGCAGCAGAGCAAAAGGGAAGGGCCAGAGGCCTGTTGCTGGAGACACGACAAGCCAGCTGGCCCAGCAGGTTTCTGTTCTGCCATTTAACTGATGAGCTCCTATATGACTTAGCCCAAATCAAGTATCTTTAACTACGTCTAACCTGATGCACAAGCTCTGATTCACCATTTGCTGTAGAGCAGATTCCTGTGCAATGCAGGGAAGTATTTCTTAAGGACCTAACCATTTAACAGAGGGCAAGCAAGGGCATGACTTTACTAGCTGCTCCGTGGTAACCACGTATATAGAATCAAAGAATTGTCTAGGTTGGAAAAGACCTTTAAGATCATCAAGTCCAACTGTTAACCTAACCCTGCCATCCCACCACTAAACCATGTCCTTACTAAGCCCCTCCTCTATCCTTCTTTTAAATACCTCTAGGGATGGGGACTCGACCACCTCCCTGGGCAGCCCATTCCAGAGCCTGAAAATGAATATACTTCACTCTATGCTAAATGGGAGTTTATGGTCGACTTTTTCATTGAAAGGTAAACTACCTTCAGTTACTTTGCACTATCATGTGTAGAAGCATGTGGTTGGGCATTTACCAAGAAGCAGCTGGTATGTGTTTACCTGCTGCCCTGTAATGGCTTGTCTGAGTGTCCACTCCCCAGCAGCTCATGGACTGATCACACTGCAGTGGTAATGGATTGAACCGTCCAGCCCGTGAAGCAGACGTGCTGCCATGCAAACGCAAAGCTTAACAATGACACTAAGTCTCTATATTTAACTGATTGCAGCTGCAGTGGCCCTTTACCTGTCCCTCTACCTGCCTTAGAATATGCCACCAGAGTGCAAAAAAAGAAGAATGCAACTGGAAAGGATGGAATGGTAGACTGCTCTGCTCCTGCCATCCCCCACCTCTCTTCTGCTCCACAAAGACCCAACAGGTCCCAAGACATGGCCTTCACACAATGACAGTCCAGCAAGAACAGCCCAGGAGAAAAAGCTTGCTGACACCAGGACAACCCAGTACTAATGAGAGAAGGGGTCATTAGGACCAGCCAGGGGAGCTGAAAAACTGCCTAAGCAGCAGAGGGTCACCACCGGCATCTCCAGAAAGGCTGCCTGCCCACAGTCAAAGCCACATAACAGCAAAGAGAAGCCCTGGGGCAGGACGTGCTAACACTCCAGCATCAGAGGTTAATTCCCGAGTGCACGAGGGCTGTCAGCACTCTGCAGAGGTGCTAATCCATGGCCCGGTGCCTGACGGAGCCTGATAACACCTCCTGCACATAGCTCGTCCTTCATCAAGTTGGTGCTGAGGCTGGGTGAAGTACAGAGAAGGATGCTTTATCTCTTGAGTAAGAGGTCTATAGATTCAGTCATTTCCAGTACACGAACAAAATGAAGGCTTACAGTTTTGCGCAGCAGAGCCTAATCTTGTAAGAAGTTAAATCATAAGCAGTTCCATGGATGCACAGCACCAGCAGACAGAAAGGGAAACAAACACCACAGTCTGCACTGGAGTCTTCAGAGTCCTAATAGTTTCTGAAGTGTTGTCCCGGCCACCTCACACCACGCTTGGGGCTCCCAGAGAAGCCAGAAAGCCACTGCTGGAATGGCTCTGAGCACTACTAAGGGGATAGGACTATTCACTACACAGCGAAAAGCACCATGGCAATAAGCATCCCGACTGTTGTACATGCAACAGGCAATGACACCTCTGAACTGATGTTCATGCTTGTCCCCCAATAAGCTGTCTGCAGTTATGTATTGCAGGTTACTGCATGCCTGAATGACCAGCCGCAATACCAGTGATGTCTCGTTTCAAGCCCGAAAGACCTGTATACACAGAACTTCCCCCTAAACATAAATCACACACGCCTGTGGCTAGTGAGACAGCCAAGCCTGCATCCCACTCCTTAAGAGGATTCTTTAATCAAAGAAAGGATCTTTGCTAGCTCGTTTCTTTCATGCTAAACCATCTTCATGCATTAACATTTAATTTTCCCCAGACGTTGCTAGGATCCTAAACTAACATTTTTCTTTATCACCAGCTTATCCCAAGAAAAGGGAAGTCCACATATGGTAGGCAACAGCTCTCCCTCTTCTTAAGACTTCTAAGTAAATGGACTGAGGAAACTCCTGAAAAGCTTTACTGGTCCCAGAGAGAAGTCACTGTTCATTGTGGGTGACCAGTTTTGCTCCTTGCTCAGACTTCCAGCTACTAACGCCACAAGTGCAATCAGAATGCACATCTGAGCTGTACCCCCTACTATCCTCCAGAACCATCTGGCCCAAATTATATTATCAAAGCAGAGGATGTTACTATATTCACCCTTTATTGAATCCTGGGAAAAACGCTTTGAGATCAGCCCCAAACTATTTTACTAGCTCTCCTCAACCTTGTTGAAAAAGCTCCCAAATTACAAAGTTAATTGGCAGCACATTGTTACCATATGTGGTGTGCAAGAGAAGCACTGAAGTTTATTTAGGCATCAGAACCAAAGAAGAGTGGAATATTACTGCTCTTTATGAGGATTTTGTGTTGGCCTTGATTACTAAGGCATCCCCAGCCTTGATCCTCCTGCGTGTAGCCTGCCCAACATACCACAGCACACTGCAGCATGGGGGCACCGATCTGCCCCCATCCCAGTTCCCCAGGAGAAACTCAGGACACAAACTGTTTGCTGTGCATTTGCTTACTAGACCTCAGCATTTTCCTTTTCCATGTTCATATCCTTTCTTCTTGAGTAAAGTTTTCCAGGCTGCCTCGCATCTCAAAAGCATGACCCTGAACCCAACCAGCTATGCTCTGCGGCTGCTGGGTCACGCTATTTCTTACAGAGCAATTCTCCTTGCTCTAGCTGCCTCACTCATCTTGCTGGCTCTCTCTTAAATCTTTAATGAGAGTTGGATTCTTGGTCTACAGGCTCTGATTTCCACTCTTCCCAATTAAACTCTCAGTGAAAAAAGGTCTGTAGCAAATTTCTATCATCAGGATCCTACTCAGACTCTTCTTCCCTCTTTACACTGGCAGCAGCAGCTTCTGTTGGAGCCCTTGCGCCAGTGCAGCAGCATTCCCTGAAGCGTGAAGTCCCAGCAGCTCCATGACAGCAGTCCATAGTTGATGTCTGCAGTAAAATTTGCACCCACAGGCTAGAAATATTCTCTCTCTGTTTTTAAACTCTGACAGAATCACTATATTAGAGTGTCCTTGCACAGACAGCACAGGGCATACTAACGTCCCAGCTCCATGCAGATGCACCTGCAGAGCTCCTGTCGCCCCATCTGAAGGAAAGAACTACAATTTACACAATCTAGCAGGGGTCGTGGGCAAAGACTGCTTGCCTTAAAGCTCCATAAACTATTTTTAAATACTCAAATGGACTTTCATGAAGTGAAACATCAGGTTTCAATTAAGATGCCTTCATTTCCCAATCTGATGTGTGTTAAACAACCTATCAAAACCTCATAAACTTCAGTTCACAGCGTTTTCATTTCCGGATTCTCTCTTCTCCTCTCAGCTTAAGTAATATCTTGTGTATTAAAATACCGTGTTTAAAAATAAAAACAAATCTGCAGAAAATAAAGGCAAAAGTCTGGTGATTTCTGTCCTTTACTGTGGCAGCAGTCCTGATTTTCTGGAGGACAAATCAAGACCACATCATTCTAAGGGTAAGTTCTGGAGAATGTGGAGAGGTGAAGTAAGTTACTTCCTAGCTGATGGGAATATTTGGGATGAGTTACCTTCAGCGCACAGAGCAAAAATCCAGTGCTTCCAGAACTCCATGACAGCTTCTGTATGCACACATGTAGCCACGCATTTTGCAAAAGTCCCATTCTATGCGGCTGAATCTGTCTGCACATCTTGCACACCACATTTTAATAAGTGAATTTCTTATCCCCAGGTACCCACCCATCTGATCTGCACAAAACAAACGTCTCTAATATTTCTGAAGTCTTCATGATACAATTAGAGCACGGAAGATGAGGCACTATTGTCTAGCCCAAATCCATGCTGTGACATAGCAAATCTCCTGTACTGGTAACAATGGCAGGATAATACCCGGGGCAGAGCAAGCAGACCTTGTCCAGCACAAGAAAGCACTTCTCTCTGGGTTTGTCAGCTGTGCTAATGTGCCCCAAAATGTCACTTGCTCTCTGTCAACAACTCAATCACATGTGTACATGAGTAATTTACCCACCCAAGCAATACTTTCTCTAATGGTGGATATATTAGGTAGAGCAAATATAAACAGGGTCCAAGGACAGCGTTGCAGCATGAGGTAATTCAGAAAACCCAAGTCACCACCTACTCCACACTAACACTTCAGAATGCTGCACTGGAGATGACAGATAAGAGAATGACCATGAAGGTATTTTATTAGTAACTATGACCTAAAGCTGTGTTTTCATTGTTTTCTTTTGTAAGCTTTTCAATCTAAAACATGTTGCTGTAAGATCAGAATTTTTTACCAAAGGCCTCATAAACCAAATGTTTACCTTCTTTTACTATAAGCCTGAGACGCAACCTTACAGTTGCTTTCAAGGCACTGCTGAAATGTTGGTGATCCCCCATAAAACCCTCAGTGCATTCCAAGCAAGGATCTTGCCTTGGCCTGAAGGCGGCTGAGCACTGTCACCATAACAGAGCCGAAGTCCCTTCCCTTCAATGTCCAACACTGGAGGCCCAACGGAAAAGTAAGAACAGCGTAAGCCTACTCTGCTGCTTGGTCTCTTGATCTTCCCCATGGTTTTGCTTGCTTCGCTTTATACCTACCCCTCTGCCCATCAGGCCGTTGTTGAAAGGCAGTCCGATGAAGCTGAAAGCTGCCTCCTGGATGAAGTAGGGATTCAGGATACGTATCTCATGAGGTTCTCTTGGGACACGGGTTGCCACTGACTTCCAAAAGCCATCAGAGGCACTCTGGTAACAAAAAAAAAAGAAAAAAAAAAAGGGAAGATAAACCAACAAACACAATTATATGCAAAAAATAGTAGATTGCTATTACTCTTTAAATAAAAAATAATTAAAATGCACCATCGGTGTCAGCAGTTCCCCTTGTCCCTGCTCACTGCCACAAGGCACCGGTGCGAGGTTGTAGTGGGGGGGCGCATCCTGGAAGGGTGACAGTGGCACGCGCAGATGCACCTGAGCTAGCCTGGGCGATGAGTGTGAGGAAGACAGAGGCCTGGGCTTCAGCACGAACGACCCACTCCCTGGTGCCATCTTTTCACTCTCATTGGCACTTCAGCTAGTTTGGTGAACGGCTTAAGCATTCCAGCACGCGTTGTGATCACTCCCACCTGCCTCCAAGGGGATGTACTCTTGGACAGCAAATGCTTTTAAGAACCAGTCAGAGAGCTAAAAATGACCACACAGCACTACTTTCAGCGTGAGCTACAGGCTTCCCACTTGATCCTAGATTTATCCTCTTCTGCTAGGTTTAAGGTGAATTAAGCTCTAAGCTTATAAAGGTGCCATCTTGTCTTGTGAAGAGTCATGCACGTTCATGGTACAAGGGAAGAAAACAACTACGTCCTTTATGTTTACCCAGTAGGTTGTTTTTCAATTAAAAGTTTTCACCCTGCAAACATGGGAGACCATCGGCCTCGGATACTGCTGCCCTGCTTGACAGCCCTGCCTAGAGAGGGGCTCGTGCCTCTCTGCCGCGTTAGTTCAGATCATTGCTCCTGCCTCTCTGCCGCGTTAGTTCAGATCATTGCTCCTGCTGGCCCAGACGTTAGTGGCTATAGCGTGTACTGCCCTCAAAATAACCAGAGACGCCACGTTCACAGGACTTGCAGTACATTTACACTCTAACGTTTCACTTCTGTTTGGGTTAAAAATTCAGAGCAAGGCACAGGGAGGATGGCAGGAATTTTAATCTGCTAACCAACAGCTTTGACAGGGTAATCTGATTGAATACCTCCTTCTCGCAACATTGACCCATCTTCCCTGGGATCTCCGTAACAAGCAACACAGGCAGGCGTTGCACTCTACATAAAAAGCACGTGCTTTGGAAGTCATTATTTACACCAGTTCTGGGCTGCTTGCAGCTTAACAGTGACTTTACAGTTGCTTTCAAGGCACTGCTGAAAACGTTGATGATCCCCCGGGAAATCCTCAGGAGCCTCCCCTGCTCAGCAGTGATTACCCCTGTAATTATCGATGGTAATTCTGCCACAGCCGACGCCTGCCACATTCCACACGCTACTTGTACTGCGCACGGCTCCTGCGAACCCTCACACCGTGTGTGCCTCTCTATGGAGCAACCCCGTGGTTATCTTTAGCCCCTGAATTTGAGGTCCTAAAGAATGAAACTTTGGCAGATGGCTCTTGCTACAAAAGGCATTAACACAGCAAACTGGATGAGGATGCACCGTTATCCAAACCAACAGTCTAAAACAGCCAAATGTCACTGCTATCCCGTTTTGATCCCATGTGCCCCCGCAAAGCTGCCCAAACACAATACACTTTTGCTGACCAGGGCAAGGATCCTGTGAGTTTAAGTTCGCATTTTGGTAATGGCAAAGTGCTCTCAGGACCCTAAATGGAAAAAAAAAAATCCTAATTAACATTTATGTTCTTTCATCATAGTCGAATTAGAAAGAATGTCTGGTGTCAAAGCGGTCTAACACTTTCCATTATGATATGACATTTTCAGCCACTGAGTCATCCCACCATTTAAAAACAAAATGAGAAAAAAAAGTATCAACTTTACAAATGTTAATAAAGTCCAATGTTCATTTGACCAAGGGATTTGAGGGATTTGGTATGTCAGCTGAGTTTTGCCTCCTTGTGAAAATTCATTAAAAATTGGATAAATATTAAACCTTTGGAATTTCCTACAGACACATGTAAAGCAGAGGCCTTTCAGTTCCAGGGAAGGAGGGGGAAAAAAATTAAAGAAAAAAGATCACAGATTCCACTTGCATTAAGCATTCTCCAGGTCTCACAGAAATGAAGACAGTAAACAAAAATCTTGAACAGCTACTCATTCAGCGAAACCATCTTATCATGGGTTTAAGCAGGCACACCCTGGAAAAATAGTGTGTGACCTTGAAACTAAAATAAATTTATAAGTCCAATTACAATTTCACGTGCAACTCTAAATATGGCATTGCCTAAATTTTGCAAACAATTCCAACCAAAGGTCTGCAGGCAGGCCATTTAAAGCAGACAAAAGCCGCCTTTTGCTTGGACTCACACTCCATAGGAGATTCTACAGAAGTTCTGGGATTGAAGTATGTTTTACATGGCTTTTGCATTACACACAGAACATTAAAGAGAAAAGAAAAAGAAGAAATATTACAAACATTTGAGACTTTTATTCTTTGCTGTTGCTTGAGCTGTTCAGCAAGAGACAACGACAGATATCACAGTCGCCTGTTTTCCCAGTGCCATGTGAACCACTAGGGCCACCCCTGGGCTCCTCTCAGCTAGCTCAGGGCCGGTGCAAAACAAATGTGGACCCTTATCCCTAGCTGGGAATACAACCTGTCCACTTTGCTCCTTTCTGTGCGGCTGTTTCTCCTGTCATTCATCCAGACTATTTCCCTAAGCATTTTCCTCAGCTATCACTCTACTCTGAAATGGCTCTGGTTTCTCCCTTCTATCTCATCTCTATTTGCTCTGTGTTCCTCCCTCTAACTTTTCTGGGGAGTTCCCCTGAGATTATTATTGAGGCAAACCTGGGGTAATCTTTCATTTTGATATGTTTTCCCTCTGTAGTTTCTAAAACAATTATAGGGAGAAACGTGGAGTCTCAGCAGACAGCTCCCATACTTCCACCTATACAGCAGGCAAAGCCCGGTATAAGGCTAAAGAACTAAGAACCCTTTTCCAGGCTTATAATTACCGAAATTCTCAGCCTTGTGGTTTGGCTCTACAAACCCCGTAGTTCTGAGCTACATCTCAAGCCTTGTGGTTTTGTTCCGCAGCTTGTCGCTGGCAAGCTACAAAACGCAGCACCACCACAACTGCGAGCCCCGGGAGGCTGCTCCCCTGATGCAACCCCCTCGGGAGCTGCAGCGTCGGGAGCGCAGCCCCGTCCAAGGCTCCGCGCTACCGCTGATGCTCCGGCCGCTGCTACGCCTGGTGTGGATGTTCAGTCTGATTGGACACAGATGTTCAGAGAGGTTTCCAAAGCAATTACTCCCCCGTCGGGGAACGCTGTCCCTTTTTAGTTTGGGAGGAGACAGGCAGCCACCCGAGGAGCAGCAGGCACTGGGAGGGAAGGCACACTTCTCCTGCCAGATTCGGGAGCTCAAACTCACAGTTTGAGGTTGGGGGCATCCCCCTGTTCTCTGCTACAGTGACTAAGCCTGCAGTGCTGAAGGGTGGGCCTCTGAAGATGCAGCATCTCCCTTCCTGATTACTGTAATGACAGTAAGTCAGAAAGCGAGTCTGAAAACTGCTTAGGCAATGTTCCCACAGTACCTCATCACCTCCTGGCATCGAGGTGGAAACCATAGGGGCCAGGCTGGAAATCAGGTCTCCCCTCATTAAGTTCTCACTTTTACTATTTATTGGTATTACTGTGCACCTGGAGCCTCAGTCACAGATCAGCGTTCATGGTGCCAAAGGCTGCCAAAAATTGCTTATAGTATAAACATTAAGAAACTAGCAACGCAGAGGGGTGGACAGGAAAACACAACTGAAGAGCAAGTCTCTGAGGGCCACAGCATTTTTAAGCAACCTTGGAGTGTTTTCAAAATTGTAAATTTGTAAAGGACATCACTAGAGGCTTTAGAGGAGACTATTTAAAAAGTAGAAAGAATTTAGATGGGCCAGGGCTTTCAGTCCAGTCTCTTGTACAGCTCTCATCCAGGGAGAGAGGCAGAAATATCCCATCTAGAGACACCACTCCAGGAATAAACAGGTACAGATGTGACAGACCAGAGATGGCAGGTTACGAGGAAGGGATAAAAGATGGCAGGGCTCACCTAATAGCTACAGGGACAAGACAATCCAGCTATAATTCCTCATTCTGTCCATTTGCAGAACACTGAAGGGTAATAGGGACAGATGGTTGCAAGCTATTTTTGTTTCCATTCAGTTTTCCATCTCCTGTTCTCAGATTTACCAAAGTGAATCACAACATAGGCTAAAATAAAATGTGGAAACTCAGAGCCCTAGCCAAGAAGCACACCTCAATAAAAGACACAAACGGCTAGAAGCAGGCTGAGTCTCCCAGAATAACAAAATTTCTAATACATTAAGCAAAATGCTATTGCATCCTGATGACACGGATGCTGCCTCTTCTGTGAGACTGCTAGATTTAGGAGCACAAGTAGCATTGCTCTGGAAGACTTCTAAGTCTGATGGGAAGGGGACAGGGAGATTGCAAAGGTCAGCTAAGCACAACACAAATCTGAATAAAGTCTGGGTATGCAATACCCTGCAACAAGAAGGATGAAGAGACTGGAGAGAGAACCTGTGGTAAATGGAGATTACTGCTCTTTCAAACTCTGATCACACCAGAAATGGAGAGGAAGAGGGGCATGAGGGATAGAAAAAGCCAGGGGATGACATACCAGTCACAAGATCTTACCGTGCCTGGGAGCACATAGTTCACTGGGATCTCTGCCCCACCAAGGCTGGAATGTGTTTATTCCATACCTGTCATTTACACGCACTCACTGTCACACAAATACAGGGTACAGCAGGATGGCTGCAATCCATCTGCAGAGGCTTTTGAAAGGTTTCTGCTCAGGCATAACTGGATTAGATGTGGAAGGTGTGTTTCCACTAGAAAATAACCATCTTCTCAGCCAATGCTGCATTTCTCAGCGGTCAAGTAGACACGGAGGCCTAGAAAATGCTCTTCTACAAGTGGCAACATAAATGAAGTTGCATCATTTGCACTGATTATCAAAGCAACAAGGAATTTTTAGCAACAAGAACAGAGGTGCTGAGAGCCT